TTCTTCATCATCTTCGTAAATAGCAAGAGAAGGATGATCATTCTGAATTTTTTCAAGCCTTTCAGATTGTTTAGGAGTCATAAAAAAGTCTATTAAGCGCTTTATACGTAATATTAAATTTCGTGCAACAAATAATCCTTTGCTTACTACTAGTTGTAATATATGTGAAAAACAGCTAATCCAATTAATTCCATTTAGTAATTCAACAACACATTTTTTCATATTGCTTGCATTATCGGTAGTAATTGTTGTTGTAAGATGACGAATTTTCTATTGTTGTAAAATATTTCGATACATTCTGCTATATTTATAGCAGTATGAAGATAGCGAATATATTGAATAGTAAGAGTGATCTCCTTAAGAATAAAATTTGAATCAACATATGAACATGTGATTCCAATAAAACCTTTTCTATTTCGGCCAGTCCATAAATCTGTTGTTAATGATACAGATATTGCTTCATTTGTAATTTGTTCTACCATTTTTGGTTGTATGTAATTGTATGCTTTGTGAATAATTGCTTTTATAGTTTTTGCCTCCGGTACTAGAAATGCAGGATCCAATTCATTACAAAAGATACGAAATGTTGTGCTATTAACAACCGAAAATGGTTGTAAATCATCAATAATCCAATTGGTTAGAAATTGCCGAAGTTCAATTTGTCGTTTTTCTGGATGTTTTTTTATTACATTAAGTTTTTGTTGTTTATCCTATATATAATTATTAATAAATTAGATACAAAAATAATAATCAATAAAACATAAATTTTACTAATCTAAATATTGTTACCTCAGACTGTTTTCCATCTTTAGTTATTTTATGAATAGACCATAAATGACCAGTTCTATTATCCATTGATCCATCATATTTAAGCTTTACATTACATGCTGTTCCATCTTCTTTTAATACTTGACAGATTATAAATGATTCGTTGTTATCAGTAAGTTCAATAAAATGGGCCCATATCCAACTAGTTTTTTTCCTCTTATGTTTAATCTTTTTCCTTGACGGTTGAATGAAATCTTCTTGAGATGGTGTATCTGGGGAAGGAGTATTCAAAAAGGATGTAATGCTACCTTGGTATTGTGACATTTTTTTTTGAAATATGAATGGTAAGATGGTAAACTAATAATCCGATAGTTCTTTTGTATTTGATTAATCGTTATATATAAAAAAAAATTGAAAATAATAGAAGCATTGCATATGATAGTCGTTAATAAAAAGCAATCATCTTGCTGCTACAATTATTATATTATAGTATCTATTCATGAGTTGGTAAAACGAATTTTGATAATATACACGTTCAAATTCATTTTTTTCGAGTAATAAATTAAAAATTTCACGCTAAAAAAAAATTGTATCGGTCAATTTTAATATTTAGTTGCCGATTGGATTACTATAATTGTAATCTAACTGCATTTAGTTAATACATTATAGTACAGAAATAACACAAGATTTAACAGTTTATCCAGATTTATCTGTTTAGTTAAATGCTTTATCTGGATAACCGTCCAATTGAAAAAATTTTGATCTGGATATCTGGTCTTAGCGGATATTCGTTAAGATAACCAGATATGTCAAAACCGGATACAAACACTACTCTGTTGATCTTTGAATATGTATAGCGCCAAAGTTTTTTTTATTATAATTTTAAGTGAATCCGTTGATCAGATTTCGTGATGTGATCGTATTAATATAATTCCTCCAAAAAGCATATAACAAATGACAAAATCGATTCTGTGAATCATATATAAAGATGGTGTTCTTGTTAGTGAATCCTTTTATCTGCTTTGAGCAAGTAAAACAAGAAATGAATTAATTTACTATTATTTATAAGTATATTTCGCAAAATAATAAAAAGGTACGTTTGTTTTATTGCTCAGCTAACTTTAATTTCACATCATTGCAATGCTAATAAATTTTTCAGCTCTATAGATGTTAAAAATAATATGGACCTATTACTTTTCTTGCTATATATCAGCATTGCTGTAGGCTTTCCTATCATCTGATTTCTAGCATCAACAAAATTTGACACAGTATCTCTTTATAAAGTGAAATCGTGAAATCGTATTTTAATTTATTTATAATAGTTAAAAAATCAATCTTTCCTAACGCGTATTTCAGAATTGATCTTGCAAATTATATAAAAAAGTTTATGTTAAACCTTTTATCCACCTTGTGCAGGTAAAGCAAAAATCAAATAAAAATTAAACTTATCAATAGAGAGTTAACAGTTCTGTATTTATCGTGCAAGCCGTGAATCAAAGTGTGCAAACAAGAATGGGAATTTAGGTCAGTGATTGACACTCTGAACCAATTCATCTGATTCAGGTTATACAAACTTTGTGAAATTTTTTGAGATTTTTTATGATACGTGATAATTAACCAATAATAATCACAGATCAGTGGAAGAAATTAATTTATTGCTCCTCCAGAGTCTAACGTGTCTTCTTACTTCAAGACCTTTCCTCTTAGTATTTGGTTTCACAAGTACTTCATTGAGAATACAGACATCCTAGATTTTGAGCAAGCGATGCGACTCTGATACGAAAACCTCATTACCATAAGAAATCTTCCTAGGTCACCGGTTAGTAAAGAGCTACTTAATATAATTACCAAAAGAAAGATGGGTGACGCGCTTACTATTAACAAAAAGAAGCACAAGTATGCTGAAGATGAATATCGCATTACTGATTAGTTTGCTTAACATATTAGATCACGACCTCCGCTGAACTTCTAAAGGATACATTTGAGTATTATAAAATATACACAACAGAAATTAGGTGTGCCTGCGACCTCATCACCACCTTCAACAATTACCTTTGCTACAAATCAAGATAATGAATTTTTTTACAGAGGCTGCTACACATCATTAATCATTTTTTTTAATTTGGTGCAGGCAAAAACATATGATGAACATATTGACTTATCCTTGAAAATACAAGATAAAAGCGAGAGAACTAAACAAAAACCAAGAAGCAGCAATCCCTCAGACAACAAAGTTTCAAATCTTGACGTTAATCTATCTCAGTGTTGGGTTTTTAGACACATTTTTTAATTTTAAATATTTTGGACAAGGTTTTGGACATAGAAAAATGTGTCTATAACCTGTCTATAACCTGTCCAAAATTGTTCAAAATTGTTCAATTTTCCAACACTGATCTATCTGGTCTATCCTTTATGACAAATAATTTCACCACTAAGCCAAGTGCTGAAGAGCTCGAGGATGAAAATGAAGAAGAAATAAAATTTGATCTTCTTGATATTTTAACGCGAGCCAACAGTTAAAGTATGTCACATATATTTTAGTTCCTATATTTTGCATATCTCTCAGTTTTCTTCCTTTTTTTTAGTGGGAAGTTAGTAATATTAACATAACTGATAAATTTCTAGAATATCAAAAAGATGTGCTCAGAAAAGCAAAACGAGAAGGCTTATACTACAAAAACATTTATGAACTATTGTAATTATTTTAAAATATACATTTTATAATGATTATATTGGGATTTATTAAAAATTTTTTTTTGCCACCTTATTTAGAGCATTATCATTGATCATGGTTATCTGTTGGCCGTGTCCATATCATATATTTACAAATCAAGAGTGGGCCCCATACATACACACATATACACAGAGCAGAGATTATAAAAACCAATCCTTATATAATCGAAAACCCTTCACTTCCACAAGAGATTTTGATACATTATACAGATGTAGTGGTTTATCAACGGCCTCATCTAAAATAATGAAAAAGATAATGGAAGAAAAACATTGTTACAAGTAGAGGTTGGAACTAACCGAAAATTCTTTAACCGGTTAATAACCGATTAAAATATTTGTTAACCAGTTAATTAACCGGTTAAAATTGACTTTGGTCAGTACTATAAATTTGACCAGAGTTAGACAATATTTTGCAATCATAAAAATCTTAATTCTGGTCGAAAATTGAATTTTGGTTGGATTTAAATTTATCTATTTTAACTGGTAAACATATTAACTATTTTAACCAGTTAATTAATGGTTAAAAATTAACCAGTTCCAACCTTTAGTTACAAGTTTCTTTATCTGATCACTAAACCATTCTTTCTTAATCCTTTAAAGGAATATAAAGTTGTTTTAAATTATACTACTTCAGGTTTAAGGAAAAGACTTGACCTATCCTGTATAGTAGATAATGTTACGATTTTAAATTCAGAAATTAAATTGTTAAGATGCATTCCACTTCAAATGCAAAAAGACATTTTAAAAACACATTTTTAGAGTTTGTAAATCAATCAATTTGCAATTAAAAATAAGAACAGGTTAGAGGAATCTGATATATTTTTGAACATAGATATGTATTTCAGTGTTTATAATTAATTATTTAAAAAAAGTTTATCATATTATATGCAACTACTAAATTAAGCTTTTGTGATAACTAGGAGAGTGGATAGAGTTATATTTAATATTAGTAGCAAAAGAAAGAATGATTTAGATAAACTTAAATATTGTACAAAAATATTACCTACTAATGCTTATTTAGCATTTTTCACTATTGCTTGCAAAGATATATACAAATTTGAAACATATACTATCCAAACTAATAGTTAGTATAAAAAGTTACAGTTTTTTATGTATTATATTAGTGATGGATCTAATATTGTAATGCAGTGATATGTATTTTATGCTTTTAATGTATAAAATTTGATTAGAAGTTTTCAATCCAAATGAATTTATTAGAGTATTATGTTTTCAACCCTTTTAAAAGTGCTTCTAAGAGTGCTTTCAATCTTTTAAGTATACATTACTATTGTAATGTACAGTCAACTCTTAATATAGCGAACTCTTGATATAACAAATTTTTGAACAAATATAATAAAAATACTCTTGTTAAAGCGAATTGCCCAATCAAATCTCTTAAAATCTTCGCTATAGCCTTATAGCGAAGTTGAGGTCTAGGACATAGAGTTCGTTATAACAAGAGTTGACTGTATATTTTAGAACTTATATTAACATTGTCTATAATATTATACCTATTTGAAAATACTGTATATAAGTTTGGGTTAACAGATATTTTAATCTCATGAAAAGTTAAAGCTTTTTTAAAATGTGTTAAAGCTGTATATAAAGTATTATCTTAGAAGGTTTGTATTCTGTTAATAGTAACTAATATTTGTCTCTTAGCTAATATAGAATCTATCTATTTATACTAGGTATATTTTGGTAGAAATACGAAAATATTTTATGAACTACTTAGAATGATAGCTTTCTAATTAGCAAAAAAAAAAAAGAAACATTTTTCACCTAAATCTCTACAAAAGATTTCTAAGGTAATAAGCTTAAGCACGTGACTTTTGTGACTTGAATTATTCTGTCAAAATTATTGTTAGAATTATGGAGAATATTATTGATTTTAAAGTCAAATTTCTTAAGACTATTTAAGTGCAAATACTGACAAATACTGAGTAATATTTGTATAACCTTTTATGTCAATGGTATTGTTCTTTTTCTTCAATATTTTTCAACATCATAAACTAGTTTAGTAATAGCATCAAAGGACTTTTACAGCTTTTACACTATTTAATATTGCCGATTAATTTCTTTTCTTCAATAAGAGAAAGTGTTTTTCTAGTTACATTAATCAAATTATCAAAAACATTATCATTATCATTTTTAATAAATTCTTCATTTGTAAAATAAATTATTGGAATAATTATCATTGCTACTCTCCTTGTTTTCTATAGAGAAAGATGATTTTGAATATCTTTTTATATTGTTAAAGAATTTAGATATAATACTTCCTTTCTGATATATAAGATGTTTACAAATGTTAAAGTGACTAGTTTAATAATAAGAGCATTTGCAAACCCATTGATTAACATTAGTAGCATATATATTATTAATACATTGTTTGGATAACTTTCCATTCAGATTTAAAATCTTTAATCTATTCAGGTATTTTACGTCCAATTTGAATTTGTTGTAATTTCCATAGCTAATGGATAACCATTTTTTTCATCAAAATACATACAACAAGATCTATTCTTGATCAAAAAAAAATATAAAAAGTCTTTTTTAATTACTTTCCAGTGGCCTTCGATAAATATTGTAGTTTTTAATATAGAAATCATATCTGAACAAGATGATCATACCAATAATTTTCATTTTGAATCACTGTATCATTCAGTCCAAAGATATGACCAGAGTGATATTGAAGAATTATCTTTACAAAATGTTTACATCTTGATATAGATATTTTTCCATAATATTCCATTGAATACTGACAAAAGAAAATTTTTTTCAAATTTTAAAGAGAATTAAAACCTGAAGATCTGGTAGATTTATTATTTGATAACTTACTATAATAGCTCTTTTAACATGTTATTTACATTATTTATTAAAATGGTGTAATATTTAGTCTTAGAAATTTCGTATTTAATAATTTAGTCATATAAATTAAATCAATTTCTTCGAATTGTTATACTGATTAACGTAGGTGGACTATTTTTTCGTATTCATAATGAGGAATTTTTTTTTTTTACCTATATTTTTGTCTTACGATGATCACTGATTCTTAAAGATAAGAGTGTATAAAAAAATATAAGCTATTCTATTTTAAGAAGTCTGTACTATTAGACACAAAGTTTTACGGATTAAGAAAAAGTTTCTTTTCTTCGAGTAATTGATCTTTTTAAAAGTTATAATGAATATGTAAATTTGTATAAAGAAAAAAATAATTTCAGAGATTATAAAAATAACAGTGACATGTTTATGCCCGAACTTACTTTTTTTTTTTTTGTTCAAACACGTTAATAGGTCTACTTTCGAAAAGATAAACCGTCTTTTGGGAAGAGCCCTTTGTTTTTTTGTATTAGGTATTATGGAACAGCATAATGTTACTCGAGGCCCTGTCTATCTGACAGGGGTATTATCAGGAGCGGCATGGTTCTATGCAAGGGAGGAAGCATAGGCGCTTTTTCAAGCCTGTGAGTTAGGGTCACTTGGGAAAATTTTGGGGCGGCATGATACTATGCGAGGGATGGAGGCATAGGCGCTGTTCCAAGCCTGTGGGCATCAGCTTCGGCTTAGTCTCCAGTAGGGCCAGAATACTTTTTAATTTTACCAATAATATTCAATAATTTATATTTTAAATGAAACTTTTAAACGCGATATCGTTTTGAAGCCGTCGGCAGTATGTAAATCCACAAAATATTAAACCCAATATAAGAGTTGGTGCAATTTGATACTCTGAATTCTAATCATAAAAATGCTGATAACATTCTACATGCGCGGTTATCTTCCTAATATAATTGGATCAAAAAGTACAACTGTTAATCCTGAATGATTTTCGTCGTTTTACCTGAGGATGTTTTGTTCATAAATTTATTTATTAAATTTGATATTCTTGATTCCATTTTTTCATTTTTCAAACGAGATTTGTATTGTGAATTTGTTGAAAATGGTTAAAAGGAATGAAACTACTGTGGATATCATCGATAACATATACACTAATAGTCCAAACTTAACACGACAATAAAATCTTTATTTCAGTGTCATAAAATAGAGCAAACATGAACTTAAAATATGTCATAATAAATACAAATATACATTAAATAATATACATTAATGTTGAATCATTGATTTGAAGGTAAAAAGTATATGGAATCAAGGAGTAGCTAAGATACGCAATGTATTGGTATTTCCGAGACCTAGAAAGAAAATAACGAGAAATAAATAAATAAATAAATATATAAATATTTTCTGAATCCTTTCATCAATAGGGGAAAAGAAAAAAAAAATTTCTCGAACAACAAATACCTCCTTTCCAACCTTGAATAGCAATAACAGGATCACCACTTTTTAGTATCTTGAGTTCAGAAGCACGATGTATACCCCATCTAATTCTATTTTCGACATCTTCCTGCCAATCATCAATCCTAGGTTGATCGTAAATAAAAGGATAGCATCCTCTAGAAAGATGAATTTGTCTTGCGGTTTGTTCAATCCTTGTCACTGTAATGATTGGACATCTTGGACGATATTTTGATACAAGTCTTGCCGTATCGCCGCTTGTTGATAACACTAGAATACATCCAGCATTTTGTTCATGTGCAGAGGATACCGCGGCCGATGCTACTGTTTCTGTTGTTTTTGTTGGTGTAGGTGCCATTGCTCTTAATTCATTAAATAAAGGTGGATAACAAATTACTGATTCAGCAATGACACATGTGTCATGCATCATTTGCACTTTAAAGGCAGGAAAAAAATATAAAGAGGTAAGCACGTGTAACCTAAACACAAAATATTAATTAATCATATATTACCAGCTTGAATGGGATAAGATCCCTTGGCCGTTTCACCAGAAAGCATGACACAGTCGGCACCATCTAGTACAGCATTGGCAACATCACTGACTTCAGCTCGCGTAGGTCTTGGATTGAACTATAAAGTAAAATGGAAAAATTGTCAAGTTATTCAAATAAACAAAAAAAAAATTATTTCTAAATGAAATATTATTTACAGTCATGGACTCGAGCATTTGTGTGGCGCTATAGTCAAAATGAAAAAAAAAAAGGTAGGGTTAATATATTATTTAAAGTTTCCTCCCCTTTTCTCTCACATTGAAAAAAAAACTTACCAAACGACAGGTTTACCAGCGATGTTACATTTAGCAATAATCATCTTTTGGGCAACGAAAACATGAGAAGCGGGTATTTCAATACCTAGATCACCACGAGCTACCATAATACCATCAGATTCCTTAAGGATCTCATCAAAATTATTTACACCTTGTTGATTTTCAATCTTGGAAATGATTTTAATGGATTTCCCTTCTTCGCCTAAAATCTTTCTAATATCACAAACATCTTGTCCGGTGCGAATAAATGATGCAAATATCATGTCAACTTTATTCTCCACCCCAAATATTATGTCACTTTTATCCTTCTCCGAAACTGCCGGTAAGTCTACATTAGTATTAGGTAAATTAACTCCCTTCTTGCTACATAATTTACCATTATTCAAGGCTTTTACTTTAACATGATCTTCATGAATTTCAAGTACTTCGAATGAAAGTACTCCATCATCTACGTAAATTCTCTTTCCGACCTCGATTACTTTGGTAATGTTTTTATAATCAACATACATTACATTTAAATCACAGCATTCAGCGTCCTTATCATTTGTACTAAAAATCATTACATGTCCTGCAGAAATTGGAAGCTCAACATTATCACGCATAACACCAGTTCGAATTTCAGGTCCTTTCTGCGTATATAAATAGAGGATTAATACTCAAGCTTTATTAGGAAAAAAAACACAAGTGCAATACTTTACCGTATCAAGAGCAATAGCGACAGGTCTACCGGGGTACACTAATTGACAACGTAGATCATATTAGTTGAATTGATCAGTTTAAGAAATCAAAAATCATCCAACTTACGTCTCGCATTTTCACGCGTGTTATCGATAACAGATTTGTGGTACTGATAAGAGTTAATATCTAAAATTGTGTTGATCAAAGGTCAAATAAGATATGATACTTACTTCGTGAGAACCATGTGAAAAGTTCATTCGAACAATGTTCATTCCGGCATTACGCAGTTGTTTGATACTTTCAAGGTTATTGGTTTTTGGACCTATTTTCAAAAATAAATTTAGTGATTATCAAAATAAATCGATGAGGTTAAAGAATATGTCGTACCAATAGTGCAGATAATTGAGGTTTTTCGTATATTCTCCTTGATATTATCAATTGACAAAGCAGAAATCCATTCAAGGTTTGTCTTAATATCACTGAAAGACATAATGAGAAAATTGTCTGAATTTTTTTTTTTTTATATGAAAAAAAAAGGTTAGGAAGTGAAGAGCGCTCGTCTGCGGATTTATATACATTTTCTCATGGTATGATCTTGTACTACCTTCGAACGATGTTTAAAAAATAAAAATTTTTTGGCATCTCTAATCCCTTATCAAAAATCAGATTATCCTTTTTTTGGAATAATCAAATCATTATTATGCTAATTATCGAATCAATAGATCAATTGTAGTTAATTTTCTTCAGATTTTACAACGATAATGGAATTTGCCGAGAAAATCGCAGATATTTAAATTGATAAGTGTTTCCATGGAATTTCTTGCTGGTTGACAGCAATGACGTTCAAAATGTAATCAGACAATCTAAAGAATTTTACCGTAGTCCATCACATGAATTATCACATGATATTTGATCATTCGAAATCTGGCAAACAAAAAAAAAAAAAAAATTTCCAAGTATAAATCAAAATTAAAAAAATTATATATATTTCTTCCCTTTTCTTTGGTGTATAAACAAGAAGATCTATTGAAAAAGACTTGTTTCGCCATGGTAGGTTTTTTGTTTTTTTTGATATTATAATTCGTTGGAGCGATTATATTGATAATAAAGTTTGGAGTGTCGGTTTTTCTCTTTTTTTTTTTTTTTTGTTTTTTTTTTGTTTTATAATGTAAATATATATATAGATAGATACATTATGTTAAATTTGGATGTAGTTAAATATATAATTATAAAAGGAATGAATTGAAATTATTCTCTTGTAAGAAGGTAGATTTGTTACTATTGGAAGTATGTTTAACTTGAAGGTATTCAGGAAAATAAGAAAGTTGATGTTAATCATATAAAATAGATCAAATAGGTATATCCATTTACTTTGACTAACTCATAAATTTAATAAATATAACATATATCATAACTAGCCATCCCACAAAACTTTCAGAATTAAACGAGTTCTCGGTAAAAAACAAAAGCAGAATCGACCAATTCCTCAATGGATTCGTCTTCGTACTGGAAACACGATCCGGTAATTATATAATCGATTAATTTCATTGACTCCAAAACAATCGATTCAGAAAATATTAATAAAAAAAAAATTTTTTTTTTTTAATTAACAGATATAACGCTAAACGTCGTCATTGGCGTCGTACTAAGCTCAACATTTAAATTTTTCTGATTCAATCACGGAGATATATTCAAAATTCATCAAAAAAAAATTTTTTTATTTCTAGTTAAATTTTTTAAAGAAAAAGGTATTTAGGAAAATGAGATATCTTTTATACGTTGTATCATGAATTAATTAATTTGATTCCAATATAATGTATTAACTTTGTGATAAGAATCAAACAAAAGTCACTTTATTAAACAAAAAAAATTTTTTTAATATTAATAATGTTTTAATAAATATTACCAATGAGAATTGTAACAATAATACAAAGGTATTATTACCATTTAAGATGGAAATGTTTTCTTTTTTTTTTTACATAAAAAGGGGGTAAAAAGATGCATGCTAATGTATTTGTAATATGGAGTGATTCAAAGGGAGAAGAACTTCATAAAAAAGAAAATGTGCTATGAACAAAAGAATAACAAAAAATAAAATAATAAATACAAGAAATAAAAGGATGGAAAAAAAAAACCATCATTCACTTATTGGAAGATATTTCCCCTAAATTTTTAGCAAAGAACCTCACTCAAACAGCCCATTCATCCATAAATTTATTAGATTCTTAACGTTACAATAAATAATCAGTTAAACGGATTTTATGAATTTTAATTTAATACAAGCAAGTAATACATAAAAGTTATAGAGAGAACCTTTCCCAATTTCTTAAAACATTTCACCATAATTAGCGACCAGCAATTCATTTATTTTGGTGACCCAGTCATTCGCTGTATTATTCGGATCTTCAAAATAATACGTTTTTCGAGGCTATTAAAAATAGAAAAAAAATAAAGTAATAATTATTGCCAAACGTGGACAATATATCATATATAAGTAAAAATACAAAATAAGTTAAATAAATACTTTAGACTTTATGGTTGTGAAAAAATATTCCAGATTATATATCATATATTAAGATAAAAGTGTAAACAATGTCAAATAAAGCTTTTTACGCAATTACAAATATAGACAAAACATACCGTATGAATGAAGAAGTTTCTTTTGTTCTTTAATTCAACAACCATCCTAGAACTCCAATATATTTCTCCTTTTTGTACATTCTTTTCCTGATCGACATATATTAATCTCGGAAAATCAGTCAAAATCAATATGCGTTTTTTGGAAAAAAATCCTTTGCGTTTATTGATTGGCCCCGTTTTAATAATTAGTTCGGATTTAAGAAGGAATGGAATCCTTTTTTTTTTTTTTTTTTTTTTGAAAGTAGCAATCAATATTATGATTACAATAAAGAAAAACGATGAAGTAATTTTAATCAAAGATTCTTACCATTGTGAAGATGACCGCTTTTGTTCTTCCAACTTCTTAACCTTTTCGGGATCTACTTTATCTGATGTGTCATCTCCTCCCGCCCAACTTTCTAATCTGAATGGATCATTTTGTTTAAGACCGGTAGCAATGGGACTATTGCAAGTTTCCCCACTACGACCAGAGAGTTTGCGTAAATATGTATTTGTGGTTGTTCGAAGCTCTGGATCATTATGTTGTGGATTTGGTGGAAGATAAGGAAGTAAACGCGGTGCGGGAAGTTGCCATAGTGCATCCCAATCTATGTTATTGAAGAAAGGATGAGCTTTTAGTTGATCAATTCCAGCTTGACCGCCGGAACCAAGTCGTTCTGACGGATTTAACACCTATTATTGAAAAAAGGATTACAAAATCAATGATAAAAAATCATAAAAATTCGTCGTATTTAAAAATATACCAATAATTTCTGAACTAAATCTCGTGCGACCGGAGGGAATCCTTCGGGGAACGAATATTCTAAATTAACAATTCTTTGAAAAGTCATATATTCATTGGTTCCCTTAAATGGTGGACGTCCTGCTATCAATTGGTATATAATACAACCAAGTGCCCAAAAATCCGAACTAAGGTGCCAAAATATAATATTATTAAATGAGGCAATATCCAACAAATTAACAATATTTGATCTATTTGCATGCTAACCTTTTACACGCTGCCTTTTCTTTTAACAACTCAGGACTAACATATTCTGCGGTACCGACAAACGAGTTGGCCCTATCATCTATTACGAATTATGAAAAATTGAAGCAGCAATACATTAAACTTGTAAACAATTTTAATAATTCTAATGTGTCTACCTTTCTCACCATCCGCATTTTGTTCCAATATTTTTGCTGTACCAAAATCGGTGACTTTGATGTGCATTTTGTCATCTAATAATATACTTTAATAAAATAATTTGTTTGATGAGTGAAGTCAGCATTTTTTTTTTTTTAATAAGCTATGCAAACATTACTCACTTTTCAGGTTTGAGGTCTCTGCCAAATATTTAAGGTTAATTATCAATTATTAACAAATAAATTTACGTTGGTAGAATATTCGTTACCTATGAATTACACCCTGTGAATGCATGTACTCTATTGCTGAAATAATCTGAGCAGCATAAAACTGAGTGCAATTAATGTCAAAAGAACCGAGCTAAATATAAAATAACAATTCTACGTGTTAAATGATTTGAATGATTTGAATAAAAATAAAAAAGATATATTGGTTGAATAATTGACGAGTGATCACCTTCTTGATGAAGGTTAGGAGTTCACCATTTTTTGCTTGGTCTAATATGAAATCTAATGAATAAAAAGTTAAGGACATCGCAAATAACTAAATAATAATTAAAAAGAAAAGAGACGCGACATATCAAGACCAAAAAAAAGATACATAAACTATCTGGATCTTGGAATGTGTAATAAAGTCGTACAATTCCGGGGTGATTCATTTTATTAAGCGTATTCTTTTCAATGTTGACATATTTGACTTTTTTCTCTTTGATTATGTGCTTCTTATCAAGAATCTTTGCTGCGTATTCACGATTGTTTGAACGGTCCCTGGCAGCGACAACCTATGGAGTCGATAAAAAAAAGAGACAAAAACAAGCAATAGTTACATCAGGCTAAAAGAACCTGAAGGTATAAAATAAAAAAAAAAAACACGATCTTCGAGAATTTCCGCATACCGTAGAGTATGAACCCTCACCAAGTGTTTTACCGAATTCAAAATCTTTCACACCTTTCTTTTTTACAGAAGAGGTGTGAGAATTTTGATTTTTTGAAGATTGTTGAGTATGCTCCTTGTTATTAGTTCTCGGAGTTTGAGTAGGTACCTCCTTATGCCCATTGGCTGATATGGGGTAAGGATTTATGGTATTTCCAGAAGACATCAGTAATCGTATTTTTTTTTAGGAGTTCAGTCTTGGAGATGAAAGTGTAAAAAAAAAAAAAGAAAAAAAAAAATAATAATAAGATGATGAACTGTAAATTTGTTAAAGAACTATATATAATTAATAAATAATACACAATTGAATGATAACGCAGAATTATAACCAACAAGGAGAGATAGGCATGTGATAACGATCCGATTATAATTTTACCAAATAATATATATAACAACTGTACGAACAAAATCCACGTACAAAACAGTAGTACCAACACGATATTATTGATTCATACATTTTTCATATGTTTGAATGAAATTAATTAAAAAATAACCATCGCTCTTTATGAAAGAGAAACATGTTTAATTAGATTCTCCAAATATTTTTTTTTACACAAGCACCTTATTAACAGAAGTAGTTAGGGTAATTTTTTTATTATTCTTATTCACGTAGTTCAATTTTTCGGTAAATCTTTTTAATTACCTTTTCTGTCTAAAACACTCACACGATTACTTTATTAGTTTAATATAGTGGATCAGATTCGATTTATTAATTATGCTGTGATACATACAAAAAAAAAAAATTCAAACTGATTCTAGAAAATAAAATGATTTCTTTTTTTTTTAATTAAAAT